CACACACACACACACACACACACACACACACACAGATTTTCAAACTCAATCAGTGAAGCTATAAAACTGTTGGTAGCATCTTTAAATTCCACTGCTGCCTGGAGAGTAGCATCCGAGCTGAGAAAAGGTGCAGGACAGGTGATCACCACTTGGTGGCGTTAGGAGGCGTCATCTGTGATGGCTTGATGCCTGGGAACTGACAGGCTGGCCAGCAGCTGCAGGCAAGAAGGGATGTGGACAGGAGGGGACCCTCTCTGCAGAGCCAATGGTGGCTGCCTGCATGTGCGTGAGTGCGTCTGGGCTGGTTTAGCTGTGCTTGTGAGGACTGACGGGAGCCAGTGTACCACACTTGTGAGAACATTTTAGGCTCTAGGGTCATTCTGGACCGATAACAGAGCTTATTTTGGAGTTGTTGGTTGAAGATGTGCAACCTAAGAACCCTGAAACTTCAAAATCAATTAAAAAAGTCAACTGAGAGTATTAAAATGTCAACAATGCAAAATCTGTGTACTTTCGTTTGGGATTTTAGAACAAGTATAACACTCCAAAAAACCATCTGACCTGACAAACAAAGTCAAGCCAGACCTGCCAACTTGTGTGTATCTGTGTGTGTGTGTGTGTGTTTGTGCATGTGCTCTGACTGTGTGTCAGTCAGCGCTGACACCATGTCAGCGCATGTGCATGTGACACAGAGTGGCAACAAAGGAGTCCGTCAAAAAAGGCTCAAAGAGCTGCGGGACCTGCACATACACACACACACCACACACACACATGCCAAATCCCTTCACCACTGAGCACTTAGTTTTCTTTTTTTTCACCATAGAAGGAACGTGACCTCTACTTTATAGACCATAATGTATATTGGTTATTGTTATAGTGGCTGTGGCCTTGTTCCAGTCAGTCCCAGTCATTTCAATGACACGTTGTCCCACCAGAACTCCCATCATGAAGTGACTGGGAAAGCGTCTGAACTAAATCTATGATCCTCTGGGTTGTGACAGTGCACCTGACGCAATTTCACGTGATGTCACACGCTGGACATTGTTTGGCCTCTCTCAAAACACACACACATACACCCACACACACAGATTGGCGTAATCTCTAGTGGGACCATGACCACCGATTCTCCTCTGAGCTAATGTCTACCATGGATGAAATCGCCTTATCAATAAAAATTATTTTAAGAAACCGAATGCAATAATAATTCTTTATCTCTCTATGCTAAGGCCCGAATAAAAAGTTTTCATAGGTGCTTCAAAAGAGCAAGATATTAATTATATTTCAACCAATGATGCTGATGATACTGGGATTGTTTTTGATCTAAGTTTTTAATGCTAACTTTTGTCAAACGACTCTACGGGTGATGCAATCAAACTCATTAGCTCTTCAAGTGAGATGAAAGTAAAGAGTGAGCTGCTTGGGACCACACAGGAAAAACACTCAGTTAGAGGGAAGTCATGAGAAGGAAGGAGACAGGCAGAAAAACATTAGAGGAGAATACGAAGTGAGGAGTCATCAGGGCACCGTGACAACGTTGTGGTGTTGTGTGCATGACAAGACCCACTCGCACGCACGCACACTCACATACACACACACACACTTGCAAGTGCAGCAGTCCCTTCAGAGAGGCCTCACTAAACGCCAAATGGCCGATGTCTACCACCATTCAAGATCTGACTTGTAAAGAACAGCTGCGAGGAGAATGACAAAAAATGGAGCTATAGTAGTCTTACTAGCAAGCTGTGTGTGTGTGTGTGTGTGTGTGTGTGTGAGAGAGAGAGAGAGAGAGGGGATGAAAAACAGAATTAGTGGAGAATGAATGTGACTTGTGTCTTCAAAACAAGTTAGTTTGTCATGTTTTTTTATTTATTTAGAAACTTCAGCAGTGTCACCTCACACCAATAAGGTTCTTGGTTTGAATCCCAGCTTGACTTTGTGTGTGGAGTTTGTTTTCCCCTTGTCTCTCTATGTTTTCTCTGGCTTTCTCCCACAATCATGGTTCAATTTAGGTTTATTGGAAAATCTAAACTGAATTTAAGTTTTAATGGTGGTCTGTACGCCTCCAACAATTAATCGATCAAATAGATTAAATTGTCCAAAATGTGTGAACCTGATTTCAAATGGCACAGCAGCACACCATCACCTGAAGCGAACACATGTTGGAGCCATGGATGAAGGGCACTTCTTCTTCTTCTTCAAACTTTTGTTTACCACTTCATATATTACAAGATAGAAGAAGCATAAAATAGCTTTTGCAGCATTATAGTTGTGTTTGATTTACTATCACTGAAACCCTGGATTTTTACGAGGATACAGAATTCAAAGCAATGATTGGATTTAATGCAGTTACATTGAGGTGAGTTGGTTGTGAATCAAGTGCTTTTTTAAAACAGCGCCTGGCATTAATTTCAGCTGCTACTAAACAACACTAACAAAATGGATAAGTAAATGTATTGAAGAGTTGTTTACATTTTGCCCGTTCATCCAGTACAGCCTCAGAAATGACCATTGAGTTAAATCAACACCTCTCTGACTCAGAGTCAACAAAAGCTGAACATGATAAGCTTAAGAAAGATATGATGTATTGCAGGGCTGTTGCAGTGGATTGCATTAGACTGTGCACCTGAAATAACTGCACCTCTGACTTGGTCTTTATACTTTTTGAAATGAGAAATGACTCCCATGAAAAATGCATCAATGCATCTTTAGAAACAATCTATATCTCCTATGTGCAATGTGTTACATTAAACATTTTGCTTTCTTTCTCCTGGATGCGAAATGAATCAAACAATCTTTAAGCTAACAAGCTATAACATCTTAAAAGGTCCATCCATCCTTTGTCCTCCACTTATCTGAGCTCAAGTTGCAGAGTTAGCCGGTCGGGGGTATATTTCAGACCTCCCTCTAGACCCAGCCATGCTTTCTAGCTCTTCCTGGGGGGTCCTGAGATGTTCCCAGGCCAGATGGGATATGTTGTCATCCAGCGACTTCTGAGTCTGCTCCTTGGTCCCCTTACCAGTTGGGCGTGAAAACCTACAACAGAAAGCACCCTGGAGACATCCTGAATAAATGCTTAAACCACTTGAACTGTCCCCTTTTGATGTGAAGGAGCAGTGCTTCTGCTCTGAGCTCCCTCTGGAGGTCCCAACTTACCTCCTAATATCTATCCACCCAAGAGAGAAAACTCGCTGCTTG